TAAAGAAATTAGATGCATGATACAAGAAAGTATCATCCATCATGAAAGGATGGTTGTGGGGCACAACATAATGGAGACCTGAAGTGGAGCAAAAGTATGATGTATATGTATAGCATTTGTTGTTGGGATGCATATGGTGCACACAATTATTGGAATCATGCAACACAAAAGATGTATCAAGTTCTCCATCATGTATGAGAAAACTATGGGTTGCTAGCAATAGTATAGGCATGGTTGCTTGCAATACAAGTACTTGAAGCAAAACACGGAGAAATTGAACATGTAAAGCAATGCATGGCCATAGCATTATTATTGGTTTGCATGGAAAATGTGGTTTCGCATGAATGGTTTATAGTGCTACCATGCTCGCAAACAAAATCATGAGGATGGCAAGTATGCAATGTATTGAATGCAAGACATGTGTAGTTATCTGCAAATTCCATGCTAAAATGTCATGGCAAGGCATATGCAAAGAATTTCTCAAATTATGTAAAGGATGCATTGCAATATTATTACAACTTATGCAAATGCCACGAACCATGAATTTGTCATCTATGCCATACTTGCCAAAGGATTGAATTTAATGGGATATGGATAGTTACTACGATGAGATTGCAAATGTGTGAATTTGGAAATCTCACCCATAGCATATGTGATCTAAAGAATTCTCACAAGATATCCTATGCAACATCACAACTAATAGACTCCACATGAACATCATCGTACTGATCATAAATGAGTAATAAGTCATCACATGAGGGAGTCAAACTAGCATGAGGCATGACAATAGGGAGATGTAATCAATGTCCACTAGTGGAGCAAGAGCATCACCATCACCTCTATTATTACCTCCGTAGGTCCACCCATGTGGTGTAGGTGTGGTGGAAAGGACCATCTTCTAGCCATCTACATCATCTTGATGGAACCACGTGGGGGGTGCATCTTCTTCCACCATGGCCATCGTCGTATCCATAGGAGGGACGAAGTTGTCGATGGTTGGTGCTTCATCATATATGGGATCTTGCACCAAATAAGAAGACACAAGCGAAGTAGAGGTTAAGTTGTTAGAGTTGGAAATGGCCTCACAAGACCTGTCAACCACCCCCACTCATGTGTGGTGGTTCACTCACTCCCTTAAGGTGGACACACTCAAACTCGCATATGGTAGAGTCACCCAAGTGGTGGTTGTGGCTTTCCTCACACGAGAATTGGTGCATCTCATCAAATATGGGGCTAGTGGTGAGTTCTCTCACTCTCAATATGGGTGCAAATGTCTCTCAGCTCATCACCATACGCCACCATCGTTGAAGGGAAAATCTCATGCTCAACCATCTCGTCACCTTCGCCAAGGAGGAAGGCCATATGACTAGGTTCATCATCATCCGCCTCCATGACCGAATGGAATATCCCATGCTCGGCCGTCTCACTTGAGGTGCATCTGAAGATGGAGTGGTCACCCTTGCTTGTAGTTCGTCGCCTTGATGTTGGCGTCGTAGCTTCCTCTTGTCGGTGATGGTGCCAATGCCGGTCTGATCTTTAAGAAGATGGTAGCTCGAAGCTCTGCACCTGAGCGTCGTTGAGAAGATGATCTTGAAGATGATGGCGACTTGCGTTTGTTGGGCATATTTTTGATAAGCTCAATTTGTGCGCCCATCTTGGCCTCGATGTAGTCCCACTTGGCATCGAAGTGGTCCTTGTTGGCATAGACCGAAGGTGATGTGCCTTCCCTATCCATATTAACATTCGAGCTAGGTGTGAGAAGAGAAGGGAATGAACAATGCATTACCTCTTTCTGTTGTTGGTGAAGGATCAAGCAGCCTCGCAATTGACAATATGAAATGAGTGCACTTGGTAATGAACCTTGTCCAACCTCACACCTACACAAATGGCTTATAGTGGAGCTTGGCAGGGATTAGTGGCATGATTCTTGCAATTTGAAGTTCAAGAGATGTAAAAGTTGGAAACAAACCACAATGAACTCAAAATGCTATGCAAGTGTTCACAAAAGGATGGACATAGAGACAGAAGGAAACTCATGCAAAGATATGGGGCTTGTGCAACCAAGAAAATGAGCATACAAAATTGTCCTAACAAAGACTAAGCTCGTGTTACACAAACTCAAGGAGTGCGATACGGCAAGATTCGAGAACTTGGCACCAATCCTACTGGACAAGTGTATCCTTGGCACAAGTATCTTTATTGCTCAACTCTTTTGCTTATAAACTCTTTTGTGAGTCCTCCTTTTTGTATCCCTCTTTTTTTTTGAACCTTTTCTTTGTTTCACCACTTCCCTTTTGAGCCTTGACCAAATATACAAGACAAGTATCACAAGATGATGCACGGAGTAAGTATATGCACGATATGATGCATAAATAATCATTAAGATGCTAAATTTCATGAGGCCTAGCAACACTCGGATAGCTAGTCTCAATAGGTCAAAGGTAATTGCAAAGAATAGAATGGCTCACAAGGGTAATGGCAAGGAAGGCAAAATTTGTGTGACGGAATAGTATACCTCATCGACACCTTTACCTTGAAAAAATCGGAGTGACCAGCCTAGCTTCCAGTGTCGGGGTCAAAAGGATGGATGAATCGTTGTCGTTGGCGAGCTTGGTGGTTGATGTAGTTGATGGAGAGGTACACGTTGTGCTTGGCGAGGACCCCTGGCGAGGACCCCCAAGGGCGAAACCGGTGAAGATGCACGTCTTTGAGTCGTGGTGGTTGATGGCCTAGGCGAAGATGCCAATTTGCGAAGAATTGGTCCAAATCAAATGATGTGGAAACCTATATGATTATCAAGGCCACATCGTTTGCTTCAAAACGAGCCCAAGAACACCAAAATTGGAGTCCGGAATCAAAAGTTATGGCCAAAATGGTGAAGAACCCGCAACAGTCTTTGGGGAGGTCGAACAGTCCGGCTTGGATCCCGGCCAGTCCGGTTTAAGGCTCGGACGAAACCATTCTCTGACCTTCCGCCCGGCCCCTTTGTCCGGCATGGGCCGGATAGTCCGGGAGACCCAGAACGCGAATTTGGGGCTGTGGAACTTGATTTTGCGGGTGGAAAAGCGAGACTCCTAAGTCGAAATTGGATGGGGAAAAAGAAAAATCGGGGCCAGGGAATGCAAAGGGGGCTAGAAACACTTGGAAAACACTGGGTTGTGGATCAATTTGAACAAAAACTCAGTAGAAACAACAAATCACTCAAAAAGTCAAAATCAGGCGAGGCTATTTTCTGTGTGGGGATTTTCGAATTAGGCAAGAACAAAACAAAATCAGGCTAGAAAGATGAGGGGGAGGGGCTCCAAACTGTGGCAACCTTGTTCACGGTACCAAATGATGTAGGTCAAAGCCTAGGGTTTGGCCCAATCTTCACGAATTGGAGGTGGATTTGAGGAAGAACACTAGGGAAAACACACAAGAGGGACACTCAAGATATGCATAGATCCAAACAACAACAAAGGTAGAAAGTAACTAGGTAGTTCATCCAAATCTCTAGGAGAGATGGGTCTTGAGAGATAGATAGATCTTCCCTAGTCCAAAGGATGTGGAGGTCTTGCTAATCCAAAGGGATTCTTCTCCCTTAGGAGGTCTTCACAACCATGCAAGGTTCTTCTCCCTTCGGTCTTCATCTCCAATGGAGGGGTGGATGAGCATAACTCTCTCAAGTTTAATCTAAATGCTTTGCAAACCCTAGAAAGGATGAGGGGAAGGGATATATATAGTCTAGGGACGAAGGGTTAGGTGGGTGCGAGAGATACAAGTTAACACGGGCCAGATCTGCTCGCAGGCAGGGGCCAGACAGTCCGATGCCTGATGCATGTGTGTCTTCGTGGCTGGTGCGGGGTCGGGCTGCAGCTGATCTGACAGTCCGGCTTCGTCATTTTGCTCCGGGGTGCCCTCAGTGCTGATCCTGGACAAACAACCGGACAATAAGGGGGAGGGGGCTGTTCTGTTCGGCTATAGTCTGGACAGTCTGGCATGGTGGCCGATCAGTCCTTTGGATGGTGGTGTTGCTTCCTTGTGCTTGCACTCCTCGATATGCGGAAGCTTGTTGGTTCCTTGTGCTTGCACTCCTCCTCGATATGTGTGAAGCTCAGCTCAAACCTATACATGCGCGAGAGGGGGGGGCTGTTCTGTTCGGCTATAGTCTGGACAGTCTGGCATGGTGGCCGATCAGTCCTTTGGATGGTGGTGTTGCTTCCTTGTGCTTGCACTCCTCGATATGCGTGAAGCTTGTTGGTTCCTTGTGCTTGCACTCCTCCTCGATATGCGTGAAGCTCAGCTCAAACCTATACATGCGCGAGGGGGAAGGGTCAAGTAGTATACCATCCAAGAAAGTAGACACGCATAGAGGATAAAATTTATCTTAGTATATGTGATGCGCGTGTCCCTTGGCAATGGAGCCACCAGTCTCTTGAAATTTCAGTCATGGAAGAAAAGATGGCTTAGATCTCACATCTATACGCTCCAATAAAAATATAGCATCTCACATGGCTTTGGTCTCACATCTATATTTTTGGATTGATAAATCTCCACCGCTCAGTTTTCTATTGCTTTGATAATACAAAGATGATCAAATGCTACATGCTAAAATTAGCTTTCCACTGTCTAAATGTAAAATTATATATTATCTTGCCAGTACAGCATCCTATAGCTGGTTTAGTATTGCTTAACACTCTTATACTGCATCCCAAACCTAAGTGCTGATATAAACAACATATATTTCGTTGACATGAAATTGACTTTATTATGAAAATTCATGTTTTAGCTTTCAATGACTTTATTATGAAAATTCATGTTTTAGTTGACATATATTTCTGAATGAATTGTAGCGAGTCATGTAAATTAGCTGCAGTTCTTGCCTGTAATGTCATCTTTTGGATTTGCCATTCACAACTTACATCTGTAATAACATATCCTTACAAATAGACCCAGAGACTTGTTGTCTTTTGATGCTCTGTGCCAATGCCTGAAATATATCTTTGAGTTAACACAAGCAGATCACACCGAAAGTTGGGACAGTGTGCTTTGGTGTTGTTGCTAGTCAAGCAGCGATCATTCTTGCTGGTGGTGAGAAGGGGATGCGCTATGCGATGCCTAATGCCAGAGTAATGATTCATCAGCCTCAAGGTGGATCGGAGGTATGATTGTTGGTTTTGTATATGATTTTTTCTAGCAAAAGCCTTGCGTCTCTGATGCATTGATAAGAAAGAGTTTGTACAAAGCCCAAAGATTGGCAGCGCCCAGAATTACAGCAGGATGGAACTAAACGGTGCCTGCCTCAGCTGGTAGCAATGCTGCATGACCCTCTTGTGTCCTTGTCCTTGCCCATTGCCTAGCTTCCGACTGGATAGTGTCAAGGAAGCCGGCTAAACTGAGCCAGGCGTTGTCGAAAATTATCGCATTACGATGCTGTTTGGTATATGAATCGTGTAGCAGGATGTTTTTCTTTAATGTTGTGTGACTAATTTGATATTCCCTCCGTCCCATATTAATTGACGCTCATACGGATACATTACGCTCATACGGATGTATCTAAATGTATCCGTTTGAGCTTTACTTAATATGGAAAGGACATAGTAATAGCCATCGTTGAAGCTTGCTGTGATGCTAACGATCAGATCACCTGCAGGGTAATACGGAGGAGGTGAGGAGACAGGTTGGGGAAACCATTTATGCTCGAGATGTAAGTTTTTTTTTTACCAACATAAGTCTCCTTAAGCATGCTTTTGCTCAGATGCTTGAGGGGCTACTGTTTTTTTTTCCTAAGCTGTGATTAAAGGTCCTGAAACCTTGTGCACGCAGAAAGTTGACAAAATGTTTGCTGCTTTCACGGGGCAACCCATCGATATAGTGCGACAGTGGACAGAGAGGGATCGTTTCATGTCGTCGTCCGAGGTAACCTCTCGCTTCATGTCCTCTCCTCTCCTTTAGCACAAGAGAAGCAGAGCAGTAACCTGTGGTGACCTTATGTTTCGTTCACATAGGCCATGGACTTCGGACTAGTCGACGCATTGCTGGAAACGGAATGCTAAGCAAACGGCTGCAAATTGGAGCTCTAAGTCAGATACATTCATCATGTTTCGTTGCCCTTTCAGTTGGGACCGACCTATGTTTAGTCACTAGGGATGAGAAGAAGGGGGTGTCATTTGCCTCTTAGGAGTTTGGCTTGGGCTGCGGGTGATTTTGTGTTGGAGATATTATTGATTTTCTGATTAATTTAATTCATAAGTAAATCATCATGACAATGTTGACAATCCTAATCTCACATTGTAAGCTAATGACGCGATTGCATGCTAGGCATATATTATATGGAACTATATGAAACTTATAACCAAAATACTAGGCCTGTAAGGGTTTGAATTTTCTGGATTTTTTGACTTTTTCTTACGGTTCTTGTCAATTTGACGCATGTGACTGGGTTAATTCTCTGCATAGCTTTCTTTAATGCTTATAATATTTTGCACGTTTCTCTCCTCCACCGCTTTGACTGTTGCTGCTTTGATCGGCCTTCTAGGCTGTTGTGTTTACTTTGTACATGCCATGCGTACCATCTTCTCTGCCGCCTGCTGCCTACCGCGTGTCCAGTTCTCTCGAGGGCTCGATTTCTTCCCTGCTGCCCACCGCTAAATCGCGGTTGTGCCTATATAAAGGGCACGATTTCTTTGCCCAGGCCACCATCGCTGCGTTGTTGCTTCTGTCTCCCAAATTTTGGCGGTGCCCACACCCACCTCTCCGTCGGTGTATGCTTCCTCGCCCCACCGCCATTTCCTCACGGCCCCCCTCCACCTCATCTCCTCTCCACGCTGCGAGCTGGTGGCGCATGGAAACCATTTCCTCGCGGCCTCCCTCCACCCATCTCTCCGTGCTGCGAGCTGGTGGCGCATAGGAACCACCAGGAACCATGCGTGGAGGGCACAAGGTGGCAGCGGCCACCTCTAGCCTGAAGTCTGAAAGGGATGCCCACCTTTAGCCATTGAGCAGAGCATCGCTAGCCTCTTGAGTTGGCGCAGCGTGCCGGAGCCTCATGCCTGGAAGCGACGAAGTGCTTCTGGATCCTTCGCGCCCCTTGGCGTGCGTGACGTGGCAGATGATTTGCTGAGTCGGACCATCATCCCACCCTCTTTCTTGTCTGGGTCGAGCAATTGCAGCTCGGTCTGTGGCTTTGCGCCTTGCAATAGTAGTAATGTGTATTTCTTTGCCAATAATACTAGGAATCAGAAGTAGCTTAATTGCATTATTAGCACAGTTGGAAAAAAGACAGGTGTACAGAGTACCATATATGATCATGTTTGATCGTGTTCTTCCAACAGCAGCTATCTTTAGTGCCGAGCCACTCGAATAATCTTGTAGCTGCAGGTCCCAGCTGCTCCCTGTCTGCTTTTCCTCGAGGACTTGAGGTAATTTTTGAAATATTATTTCTGTCCTTGTTCTTTCTATCTATTGGCCTTGGATCTTGGCCTTGGATGGATCTGTTTTCAGTTACACATTCCTTTGGTGCATGATGAGAACACCAATATGGTTGTTACACTCATAATCTTTGCTGCTCTACATACTGGACCAATTATTAGAGCTTGTGTACACCAATTAAATTACCAGGTACTTTTATTTTTTGTAATAATTCTAATGTTTGTGAGAATATGATGTTGCCTAAATTGGATACATTTGTTTTGCTTACAAATGAAGAGCCTAGCTTGAACAAGAAAAATTAACCTTGGAGCAAGTTCAAGCATAGAGATGATGCATGCGCAAGGGAGTAAGAACGGAGTTACAAGTGATGATTTCAAGACTTTGAAGCCATTATATTGAGTGCATGAAGTCTTGGACAAAATACACAAGATGCCACTTCATAAATTTTGTCCAGAGGCTATTCTAGGTGCTGCGTCACCTTATTATTAGGCCAGTCCATGTAATTTTGAAATATTTAAGTATAGGCTGTTTTTAGAGTCCGTATGTCTGGAAAACAAGAGTTAGGGTTAGTTTAGGACCCCTCCTCCAAGGGCCACAAAATTTCCCCATCTTTCTCCATATATACAGTTTTTAGGGCATCGTTTAGACTTTGGGTTTTGTTTAGATTAAAAGTTTGCCATAACTGTAACTTTATGTATTTCGTTTGTGTTCAACGACTAGATCAAGGCGTCACAGACTTCAACTTGATCAATAAAGTTTTGCTCTTTCATTCGCAATATCCAGATTGCAATTTCAGTTTCTTGTTTGTTTTTCGTTTGCTTGCAGAAAATAGACTCTCATGGTCAGGTTGATCGTACTCCGGCATGGTTAATAACCTCTCAGAGTTGGTTTAGCGATTGCTAAGGCGCGACGTCTTCGCACGTTTGTAGTCGGATCGTCAAAGTCTACTCCACAATAAACGATAGCCATCATCTCATCAAAAGACGGGACACTTTTGTCTCTACTCCACAATAAACGATAGCCATCATCTCATCAAAAGACGGGACACTTCTATCAAGTGGTATCAAATTTTCAGGTTGTTAAGATTTTACAGTTTTTCGTAGTTTAGATTGAGTCTGTTTTTCATATCTATAATCCATGAAAAAGCCAAAAAAAATTAGAGTTAATTCATCATATCTAAACCAGTCTGAGCCTTTGCATAATTTTTTCAGTATTTTTCTTTGTTGAATTTACGGTTGCATCGTCGTGTCAAGTTGCTGGTCTTAGCGTCTAGTCCTTTAAAGTTTCAAGTTTTGTCACAATTTGTCACGCCGTCGCCGCACCATCATCATCGCTGCTATTATATACCACCACCGCTGCCATATCCTACCACCATATGTCCACACCAATTCAAGTTTTTTCATATTAGGTTTATTTTAAGATCTATCTATTTTCCTATTCGTGTTTTCTTTCCTGAGTAGGTTTCAAAAAGAAAAGTCTAGAGACCCCCGAACAGTTTTTAGGCCAAAATTTCAGCGATCAAAAATATTTTTTTTCTATCCTGTTTTTAGACTTTTTTGAGTCTTTTGGGACACGTGTCATCATAGTCAATTTTTATCGCACTTTTTGGTCATCGCTGCCCTAATTTCTGAAAAAAAATTAGTCAAGAAAAATTTCGTGTCTATCCTGTCAATTTGACTTAAGGAGAGTTTTGAGACACAATACCGTGATTTTGTTAGTGTTCTAGGCTCGCGTCTCTAGTACGGTCTAGCCTAGGACCAGCACAGTACCGTCGTTGTGCGTTTATTCAACTTTGCATCTCTGAATTGATTATTGCTGACCCTTTTTACTACCATAGTATAAGCCTTCCCAGCTCTACATACATCTACATCATGCGTTTGACTCCCCCTGGTAATCGCTCTATCCAAACTTTGAAAGTTTTGACTACAACAGTTGCCGATCACCACCTGCTGCTTGTTAAGAACTGGTAAAAATTTGAGATTCGCTTGATGGATTTGTGACATATTCTTGTGTTTTTCTCTTGCTGCTAACCATGCCAGGATCACAAGCGGATGAGCTGGACTAGGAGAATATTATGAACAAGGAGCTCCATGATAAATTCCAGGAAATGTTTGGTCAACAGGTGAAAGACGTGATGGCCATTTTTGGCAAGGCATTAGCGAGGATTGATGACGCTGAGAAGGCAATTGACAACAAGTTGGATGCCATTTTGTTTGAAGTGCTTGTGTGTTTACCTCCACCTACTACCTCTACTGCACCATTGCAACAACAACAACAACAACCACCTCCATGTCGTGAAACAACCCTTTGCCGAGCGGGCCGTGTTCCTCTTGAGCCTAGACAAAAAATTCTGGTGCCGCTGCTACTGCTGTTGATGCTTCTGTAGCTCCTGCTACTACTTCAGAGGTGGAGGACTATTACAGGGATGAGGTTGATCAAAATCAGAACTACGTGCAACCACCAGCACCAGGTTGACCTCATGCATATAAGCGCAATGTTAGGGCTGCACCACCACCTCAGGTTCGAGATTATGACCATATTCCTAAACTAAAATTGAATATTCCACCGTTTGAGGGTAGATACATTCACTACTGTAGGATGCTGCTAACGCGGCACTACGATCAGAGACCCTTCGATGAAACTGTGTGCGATGCAATAATCGCAAACGGTGGTGTAAAAAACTGTCAAAAAGGTGCAAAACGTTTGCGATGAAGGATGCATCAAACACGGTTCAGATTTTAGTTGTGTGTGCGAAGTCGGGCATATAGTTCAGTTTAATTAACTGTTTGCGATGGGGAGGAACAAAAGAAACGGGCAGCCAGATGAAGGTGTGTGCGATATATAGTATAGCATACGGTTCACTCAGATGAACTGTTTATGATTAGGTAACACAAAAAAAACTGTCTGCCAGATCAAGGTGTGTGCGATATACGGCATGCGGTTCACTCGGATGAACTGTTTGCATTGAGACAAAAGAACAGAAACGGTTCAACTTAACAAGATGTGTGTGATACGTGGCAAACATGTATGTAATCGGAAACGTGTGTGAAGACCGATAACAACACAAACGATTGCTGCTAACAAGCCGTGTGTGTTGTGGGCAAACGATTGCTGGTATACAATTGTGACTGATTGATGAAAACATCACCGACGGGTTCCATTGTTTAGTTCGTGTGCGATGTGATTTTCTTTGTCCGCACAACATCTACATTCTGCCTACAGAGTATCAACATATATACTTAAAAAGACAACATTGCATAACCAAATTAAGCATGCAATTACACAAGTGACTACACACATAACATTTCCACACACCAAAACAAGCAATTACGTGCATACTAAACTAGGAGAAATGAGGATCTAATCATCTACTTATTGTTGCGATGACGCTTGCCATTGCTCTGATTCTGGCTGGATCCCTGGTCGTTCTGGGGAAGGAGGCACTTTCTCATGTCAACGATCCGCCTGTAAATGTCGTAGCTCGTGTACGCCTCCTTGGGCGCATACACGACATGAGCTTTGTCGAGTTTCTCCATCCAGGCCGAGTGCCAGGCACGCTTGTCCTTGTTGCACGAATCCTTCATGTCTCTGTAGCAGGGGTCGATGATGGCCTCGGCGAGGTGAA